TGATAAATGTCGGCTGATGTGCTTGCTTCAGCAGTACATTTACTAAGATAAATGCTGACTGCTGGCCCCATCTTCAGAATCCTGTCAGCCTGGGGTGGGCATAGCATCAGCATCTTCCAAGTCTCCCCACGTGGATTCCACCTGCAGCCAGGATGGAGAACCACGCTCTGCACCCACATCCTTCAGGTTGTAACCAGGGACAGTGTGCATCAATAGACTTGAAAAGCGAACCAGGCAGGGCCAGGGATTCCTCTGAACAGATGGTTCTCCTTGGCTAGGTCTAATTTTCACTAGACTGACCAGACCCACAGGTGGACACAAGTACACAGACTCTCACTGCCACATTAATATGCCCAGGGAGGCAGGAAGTATGAAAATCTATGAGAAAGTAGCCCAACTGTTGACCTGACAAGGACAATCAGTGAAGCTCATGGCCTTGTTTTATCAATAGTATGTCCTTACAGCTGTAAGTTTTGGATTTCTGAACAGAAACCATGGTGTTTTGTTGTTTGTTTTGCAGTACAGTAAGTCCTTGACTATGAACATTTGAGTTGTGAATTTTCACAGGAGTACTGTACAGTATGAGACTCTTGTCAGGTATGAATGAATACAACTTACGAATGTTCTCTCGGAATGGAACTTGTTTCTAAGTTGGGGACTTATTGTACTGGAGGAGGACTAAACCCAGCACTTTCACACTGAACTCAACCTCAGCCCCTCCACCACCACCACCACCCTGTGTTTAGACGTGATCTTGTTAAATTGGCCAGGATGGGCTCAAACTTGGGATCTGTCATTACAGGCACGTACCCATTATTCCCACCTACAGAAACCTTGTGAATATCAGTATTACACAACTCAGACCCTTCTAGCTTCCCTGCTTTGGCATGATAATTGACTTAACCTCTAAGTAGTTCCTGGGGAAGATTTGTTCTATTACCTAGAAGAAAACTGGAGTTCATTTCAGTCCCTCAATGCCATGTGGTCATCCTCTGGGGACAACAGAAAAGTAAAGCACTTACTGGCCTCCCGGATGCGTGGGGCCAAAACACACCCTCTGTGGAGAACAGCACAGGACTGGGGGTGAAGTGTGGGCACAACGCCTGCCGGGAGGGGATCAGAGGTGGGGACAGGACTTCCATTAGAATCAGAGCTGGGAAACTTGGGCTAGACAGGAAGCCACATGGACCCAGGATGCCCTGGTGCATCTCCCAGAGCTGGGCAGGGTGTGAGGTTTGCTTAAACAACTGTACCAACAGTGGAGGCTTTGTGAGGGCAGATGTGCCAGGTATGGCACTTCCCGAAATGATCATCTATGCTAGCCCCATGGCAACAGTGACCAAGTTGGAGAGACCCAGTTCCAGCTTTCCCATAGCCCAAGACCCTTCCCCAAAGAAACCAAGGAAAAGGAACCATAAAAATTTCATTTTAATGATACAGAAATAGTATATAGTACATTTCTTTCCACAGCAGCACTTCGTTCGTCTCTAAAAAGTTTAACAAAATTAAGGCTAAATCAGAGCAATCTGATAGTAAAGGGGTATTTTATGTGGTGTTGTTCTTAAAGAATGTTTTCATAAGTATAAGATGTTCTTCAGGCAAAAAAATTTAAAAGTGCTCAAACAGGTACCAGAAATGGAAATGCAGTACAAAATGTGCTCCTTTGCCTACCAAGAACCACTGGAAAGCATCAACAGGATGTTTTTCATGAGTGTTTATGGTATGATGCTAAGACTTCACAGAATTAAAATTTCATAGCACAAGGCCATTTAACAATACAAAACTAAAGACTGTTGAGTCTCCAGTATAATCCCTCTAGAATAAATGAAAAGTGAGAGTGAACAGGATTTAAAAGCACTGGAGAATTATATCTGAAGCCATGGTGCTTAGACAGATAATCCCTCCACCATGGGCCTGCCTCTCTGAACTCTAAGAAAAGAAATGAAGACTTTAAAATATGAAAGGAAAAAAATGTGGCCACTGCCAGGAAAGAAGGAGCCTGTAAGTCCCCTGGCTCTGATCACTGCCCTTTACTCTCATTCCCTTCCACTTTGTCACTATTCCCGGCCACCTCCTCCGGTTAACTTTACATCACTGCTTCCTGACTCAGGAGAAAGCCTTCAGCTGCTCCAGGATTTATTCTAAGATGAAGAGCTTCGCCCACCCTCCTATCTTGTCCTCCTAAGACATCTGAAAGAAAAGACAAGAGCAAGGCCAGCTCTCTGCCTCCCTCTCTGAAGTCCTCCTCTGGGACAAAAGGGACAATCCCAGAAGCGCAGAAACCCTGCCTCCACGTGGCCGCCTGCTGTAAGGGCCTATTTCCTCCACCACCTCCGCTTGCTCCCTAGGGTCCAGTTTAACAGCCCCCTCTCCTCCCCTGCCCCCACTTGCTGTAGGGAAGCCAAGGACTCTGCCTATCAATGGAGAATTGAGATGGCCCCGAGGAAAGTGGCTTTGTTTTTATTACAGACCTTGTGGCACATCTACTTTACTAAGGCCATCTTACTTTATGATAAGATGACCTGTTACTCCAGAGAAATATCTTACCACGAAATTTTAAATTTTCATCATAATGTAGCAGATAGTAAGAAATTATATATATATATTTTTTCCCTACATGAGAATGTTTTTCTATTTCTTTGGCTTCCAGAGCCTCAACTTCCCCTAAAGAAATAAAATGGAAGGAAAATGTCTATATCAAATATCCTCTTAAGACTCGCTTGTGTTCCAAAAACGGCTAAAACTTTTAGGAAATTGTGAGTTGAGGCACACATACTGAAATGCATTTCTTATATAAGTTCACATATAAACACAGATAATATAATGAACACTCAATTACTCACATTTATGTAGAATAATTAATACAACAGTGCAAGATCACAAAAGGAGAGGGGACCTCTGAGGTGTTCTAGTTCAGTGACTTCCTTCCTGGCTGGTCATCAGGTTCGGCAGGTAAGAGTCTGACCAGCACATTTCCAGCCCCGCGTGAGGGTCAGGTCCAGCAGCCAAGGCCTGGGATCTTAGAATTTCTACTTTTTTTCCCCTATAAAATCCAACAGTCCAATCCTCTCATTATACACAAGAAGACGTGAAAGCCCAAGTAGTCAAGCCATCTAACATCACAGAGCAGGAACAGAGAAAGGGTCCAGGTCCCTGTCCCCAGTCCTTTCCCTTCCTTCGACACCACACTGCCTCCTAAAGCTGCCCCAGAGCTGTCACCTCTCACACTAAGCAGGCCTAGTAGATGCTCTGTGGTTGAAGTTAGGTACTAAGTTGTTTGGAGCAGGGAGTGGGTCTGATATGCTTGTGACACGATCTTAGGTATCTAATCTATGTCCAATAAATACCTGCTGGCAGCCACTCAGTGAAAGTTTACCACATTCTCCATGCACATCTCAGTCTACAATCATCCACACAGATGCAAAATTACCTAGCTGCACAGTGAGATCCAGCTAAGAAGGGGAGCAACTCCAGAATCTATGAAGATGCCACATTTGGACAAACATAAATTTGAGGAGACAGCATAAGTTCCATAAGACTAATTCCTGTCTCCTCCCTTTGTTCTCAAGTGACTGTGTGTGGGAGAATAAATGTATCAAGGGACAGCAAGAACCTGACCATTTACTAAGCCCTTGGCAAATATAAATTTAAAAATTCTAAAATGTTCTAAACAGAAAAACCGTAGCAACTGCAACAATTATACTCATTTTTAAATCATTTCTCTTGGTTTTCCCAGCCTCAGAAAACATTCTTTTGTGGCTGGAGTCAGACTCCTTTATAAAGCTGTTAGTGAGGGACAGGACACATCTAGCATCTATAACAGTCTCTCTCTATCTCCCCTCCCCCTTTCTCTGTCTCCCCCAACCTATTCTTCTACATATAAACACATAATAAACACACATGTATTTATTTGGAGGTGGAGGAACATAACTTGCTCTAGTTTGTATTTGTAGCTATGATGTATATATGTATTTGAACCATGATATAAAGATGATTCTACTTACTATATTATCATCTTGAATGTAGATGTGATAAGGAAAAATGAGAAAACATTTAAAAAGCCAAGAGAATACCAGAGAAAACACAAAACTGAAAGCTAACTAACTCAGCAGGTGCACTGACCATCTGTGCCATGCAGCCCAGGCCTGACCATGGCCCCCGGACACCCCAGACCCTGCCGGAAGAAGGAACAAGAGGGACTGCCCAGAAGGATGTGAGGGACAGATGAGGGAAGAGGCTTCCCTGGCCATTCTTGTGGTTCTCAGGAGCAGGACAAGGACACAGGCCACCCTTCCCATGTGCTACCTTCCTCAGTAATGAGTTCCACCTGGAGAAAATGTTAGGAACCATTTTTGGATGAGGCCCCTCCACCTTCAAGGGCTCCACCCTGTGAAATTTGGAATCAAGCTACCTTCCAAGCAAGTGTTACAGCTGTCTACCATGCAAGCCAACCAGGGATCTTCCCCACCTTGCATTTTGTCTTCTTTTCTACAGAAAAAGAACTGCCTTCTCTCTCTCTTCACTGTGAGGTCCAGTCTCATCTACATACAGATGCCTAATCACTCCTCCAGCTAACCTGTTGGGATCACACTGATCCTCATTCACCCATTCTTCATTCAGCACCGAATAGCTATGCAGTGTCTGGACTTCAGATGGTCAGAGCTAGTGCAGCACTTAGACACAGCATCCCATGTCCCCCTTGCCCCTAGGGGAAGGGGCAGAGCTGGCCCCACAGCCAGGAGTCCTCAGCTTACACCCTCCTCTAGTTATCACCTCATAGCCGGATATAAGCAGTACAAAACCCGGTACAAAACCTATCTACTTGTTCACTTCAAAAATGAAAAAGTTATAAGATGGAAAAGTTTCTTACCTTGTATGACTTATAAAGCTAATAAATACCAGCAAAATGGAATGATAAAACCAAGGGGTATCTTTAAAAAAATAACTGCAAAACATAAAAATTAAAAAATAACTTCAGGGTTGGTAAAGACTCTTTCTAGTTTTTTTGACATTCAATATTGTACAGTCATATGCTATATACATATGACATCTTTTCTGCCTTTCTGCAAGGTTAGAAAGTCATTCCAAAAACACAATATCACAAAACAACACTCAAGGGATATACGTTCCACAGCACTGACATTTATAATCTATGATTCTAGTCTACAACATCCACTGTGGTCTACACACACTATGGATATACCTAGGAAAACATCCATTTTCTACTTATTTAATCAGAGGGAGGATAAAGCCGCTGCTAATATTTCAATAAAATATGATTCAAAATCATCACTATCTCAAGCAAAACCAAAATGGATTTAGTGAGTGTACTGGCTGACTGACCAAATTTAAACTAACTGCCTTATTCAGAGTAACAGAAGTTTATTTAAAATAAGCCTCTTATTTATTTAAATAAAGGTTTAAATATCTAATGTATCTTTTCAGGGAAATATTAATGAGTAATTCTAGAAGCCAAATTTTTCTCATGGACTGTATATTTGTATAAGAGTTTATTATTTACTTATTACTCCAATCCTTTCATAAAAGTTACTGTTGCATAAAAATAGTGCCTAAAAAATCCCGTTAGTTGACATTTACAGTGACCAAAGAGCTTCAACTGCTGAATACCCTAATCTTCCAGGAAAAGTACATCAAAAATGGACATTTTATGACAGAATCACTCATTTATCTCAAAACCAGAACAAGTAGAAAACAACACCATTAGGGGAATTTCAGTATTTTTTTGACCACTACTGCAGAAACACAGAAACTCAGCAGATTGCAGACATGCAGGAATCAGCAGTAGGGATGAAGGGATTAACAAGGCAAACGCAGCACACCTGTAACAGCTGGACTGAAGGTAGGCTCTTAATGAAACCAAATTATTTCTTCCTCAAGGCAACCTTAGCTACAAAGGAAAAATTATTTCATATCCTTGGTCCAGAAAGAAGAAACATTTATTTACATTTTCAGTGGACTAAAAGAGGTTTTAAACTGTCACAATTAAAATTTTATGCTTCCAAAAATATCATATAATCAATGCAATTAACTTAAAGCTTCAGGTATTAATTAACTTCATTTAGACTTCTTATAAAACCAACACAAACATACTTTCTAGAGTGCAAAATGCTTCTTATTAAATACTTCGGTAACACAAAAGCAATTGGTTTTGAAGCACAGGAATCCTTTTCTGAACCGTCACCACACAAAGACACCCATTGCCGGCAATGGGTGTGGAACAGAACTGCCAGCTCCAGGCAATTACAACACTGAGATTTTGTGTTGAGTCTCTTCACCTCTCGGGATGACCCACTACTTGTACAAGCTCATGGTCGGACTCTGGTACATGCACATATATGCATCGCAAAGAAGTCTGCGAGCACAGCCTTGGATTCTCCTGGAGTCCAAAGAGTGCAGGTCCTCAGGAGACATCTTCAGGTACTCGCCCACTTCCGGGCAGGGGGTCACCTGGGGAATGTTGAAGCCATTCTGACCACCTGTGAGAAGAGGGAGAGCTCTGTTTAGAGCAGTGAAGTTCTAAACCCTCTCGCTGCGGCCTAGTACCCCCAAACTACTGTATGATCCTCTGATTTAGTAAAGCCTGACTTTCAAATTCAAAATGGCCTTATTTTACTTCTGACTTCTAAAAGTTAAAGCCTCCTTTAACACATGATGGTTTTCTGATCTCTTCGCTTCTGAAAAGATTCTAGGATCGAAAGTGAACAAAACTGGTAAAGGACACATATCCTGAGAAAAGCCTCAGACCTGCTTTCCAGGTTTCCCTCTGTTTGATTTGGAAATAAGGGAAAATATAGCATTTGATCCTCACATTTCCACATCCCTTCCCAGAGCCACCCATCCCAGCACACTTCCCCATAAGGCTGTCCCATCTGGAGCAGATCCAGCACTATTAGTGTCCTCAGGTTTCAAACACATGTGCACACCTTTAGCACAGTTTGTTTTTCATGTCATCGTACTGTGCATCATGATACTGACGCTCTGATTCCAAGAAAACCCTGAGGCTTTAGCCCTCCCAGTGGCTTTTCCAAATGTCTCACCTATGCTCGTAAGTCACAATGGCAACTGGGTAGGGGCACATTTACAGATGGGGCTGGGCTGCACCGCTCAAGCATCTGAAAGCTGAGAAAAGGCTGAGAACTTCTGGTCTGGAGCGTGGCCTCTGGTCAATAAATAGGCTGCCACTAGGGGGAGAGGTCTTAGGTGTTTAGAGGGCCATAGTGGAAGACCTGGGACCCAGGGCTTGCGAATGTGGCTAAAGGAAAAGCAGGCTGTAAGAAGAGAATGGAGGGACACATATGTCACATTCCCAGCCTGCCCAAGGCTGGCCCTAACCTGTGCACTCCACAGAAGTCTGGAGAGCTGTTGTTACAGACATCTCACTCCTGAAGCCTCCTCGGGGCCCTGGCTTCAGATGTGTTAAAGATTATTGTCCTAGGGGTACAGTTCATCCCCCTTTTCAGGGAGAAACACATTCAGTGGAGAACAGGCTTATTTTCCAAAGTGGATATTTACTTCTGGGCTTAGCTTTTGTCATTTAGATAACAGTTTAGTGTAAAACAAAAAACCATAAGCATGAGATCAAAAAGTTAAACACAAGCTACGTGACCTCAGCTTTCATATGAGAAAAATGGGATGACACATTTCCATCTTGCAAAGATTTAGGTAAAATGACTTACTGTACTCCCAGAGAGCTTGGTATAACCATGCTCAATAAAATCTATTATGGTTCATACAAAAAATTAAGAGGAAAGTAAAATCTTTCAGCCCTCAAATAAGAATGTTAGGACCCTATTTTTAACAAAGAGCATATACATGTCAAAATAACACAATGTTATTCCTTATAATGTTGTTATTATAAGGAATAATAACAGCAGGGTTGTTAAGGCATTTCAAGATTAGAGTCTTTGTCATCCTGAAACCTGAAAATTCTGAAATCCTGAAAATCCTGAAAGGATTTCTCACAAAGTATCTTATTACTCACAACAGACAGTCCCACTATGAACTATCCCACCACAAACCCACAGGCTGCCACACACAGAAGAGGTCAGAAATACCATCCCGGTCGGCCATGCTGTCAAAGAACAGCCAGGCAGAATCGTCCTTCCCATACTTCACAAATGCAACGTAATGGCTCGTTTCTATGCAGAGAACAGCAAACAACTCCATCTTCTGGCAGGGGATGCAGCCGTGTCTCCAGTCCCAGTCAGGCAAATCTTTGGGGAGTGACACTGGGTTATATTTATGATTCAACCTCTTGGGATGAAGGTGGACCTAAAATGGACCGTGAAGAGAACACCACAAATGAGCTGAAAGAAATGCTTCAAGTAGGGGGATTCCACTTACTCTTAACAACATCCTTAGAAACAGCAACAAACTACTTTACAGAGATCTATCAGTCCAACAGCAGAGGCATATATGATACCATTTTATTATAAATTTCTAAAGCTAAGTAGGATTTAAAGACTTTTTAAAACCTGAACTCTGTTTTTAACCACACATAGCTTACTGTTCCACAAGAGATAATCCAGTAAGTGAAGGCAGCTTACTTGAGTGTTGCAGGTTTTACAAAACTGCTTGATCTTTCCGGCTGAGATGTCCGGATCATCATAGCACTCTCTACACTCATACATGGCAAGCCCTCCGCAGATCCGGCACTGCCTGGGAGCTGGAGTAGGGGATAGAAAGCAGAGTCAAGGGCCCTTTCAAAAATACATTCTTAGCTGGGCCTGGTGTGCACTCCTCTACTCCCTGGACTTTAGGAGGCTGAGGCAGGAGGATCAAAGATTTGAGCCTTCTCAGGGCAACTTAGCAAGACCCTGTCTCAAAATAAAGAATAAAAAAGGGGCTGTGGATATAGTTCAATCCCCAATATCACAAAAGACAAACAAACATTCTTTCATTAAAAAGATTTTTAAAAGATAATGTTCAGGGTTTCAAAAGAGTCTATGGTTCTCCCATCCTCTTAAACTTTAAGTTGGATTTTCTTAGATTTGAGATATCACTGAAGACATTCTTTTTGACCAAATAGCTGCTTTTTAAATAACGCATTTTAAAGTGTTTTCTCCTCTGATTATAAAATGTTTGCTGATGAAAATTCAAGATACAAAAAAGTATAAAGAACAAAGCTGAAAGTATCTACAATCTTAGCAAGAGAGAACCACTGTCAATCCTGCTATGAATTTTCTCCAATTTTATCCGTGAATGTTCACATAACTAACTATATGTGTATGGGTATTTAAGAGTCAGATATCCATATTAAGAACCTATCAATGTCTGTGGTTTTCACTTAATACTATATCATGACCATTTTCAAACACAATGGTCTTCAAAAACATGAATTTTAAGAGAAGTCTCATTGTATAGATATAAAATTAACTACTGCCCTCTCATTAACACTTAGATTGTTTCAAATTTATGACAAGCATATCTAGATATAAAATATTTATTTTCATCTCTAATTATTTTTTCAGAATAAATTCCCGGAATTAAAATCACTAGCTTAATATTTCTAAGCTCTTCAGATAATGAATTGCCTTTTAGACATATTAACATCCACAATTAATGAGAATGACCTCATAGACTATTTCTAAAAACAACAAACAGGCCAGGGACGTAGCACAGCAGTATAGCATCTGCCTGGCAAGTGCAAGGCCCTGAGCTCAATTCAATTGCCAGTATCAAAATAAAATTAAATAAATAAATAAATAAATACAATAAAAAGGCAATCTAAAAGAACCTTATACTTACTATCTTCAAGTAAATCTGTTATATTTAATTCCAAAGAAGGAAAAATTTTTTTAAATAATTTAAAGTCTTTTCCAAATCGAGGCATCTGAATAATCAGACATGATGGTGCCTAAAAAGAAAGACAGAAAAAGACATTTTTAGAAGAAATCAAAGTGCTAAGAAAAAAATGTTTTCTATGAAACTGAAATAGTCATTGCTGTCAGAGCAAGCAGTGATTTTTTACCCTAATGCTGGTGACCCACAAAGCAAGACCCACATAGTGAATGTGGAGTGTGAACATAAAGCAGCCACAAGCCACCAGTCTTCAAGTCATCCCTGGTCATGCGACACAGCAACACTAAGAAGCAGGGAGTTCAACAGTCTCAGGTCCAGATAATACAAGAACTACCTAGTGTCATTTTACTCTTGGTTTATATTAATTAAGGGTTTTGGATAAAGCATTTTAGCAAATACACGGAAAGTATCATAACAGATAGACGATATTTCTGATATATGAACTAATAAGAAACTGTGGTTGTTAAGGTTTTATCAACCTCTCTTCAGAGGTAGGTAACACAATAAAAATAAACCACAAACATGCACTTACTAACATCATAAAGATACACAGGAGACAGTAAAAAGGAAACTCATTTGCATCATTTGTTCATTAAACCCATGTTAGTGAACTGATTGACATTTTTGTCTCTTCTTGAATAGGAGAAAAGTAAATGTTCTCTTTTGATATATTTGGATAATACATTGGGTAAAATGACAATTTTTTAAGTCCTGCTTTTTGTGTTAAACTACTTTGGGGTTTTCAAGTTACAAATTAGCTTTGTGGGTTTTGGCACCAAAAATCTAAAAAGGTCAAACTTAAGTCTAAGGTATTTTCTATAAGGACAATGCTGAAACACTTCACTTTTTTTTGAATTTGTTTTTTTTAACAGCTAATCTCAGTTGGTTCAACTCAGTAGACACTGACTCTTCAAGTTCTCTTAAGAATCCTCCAGACTTTCACAGGAAACACAGTGACACTAACCTCTGCAAATTTCAAGTTACTGTTGATAAACGACCATTCTAATAACTGTTGAATTGTAGGAACTCCAACTTTCTCATTTTTTTCCATAAAAATTTGATAGAAGTAACAATCTTGTACTTTTTGACCTGCTGATCTAAGAATATGCAGAAAAGAACACATGTGACTTATTTATTAAATGCTTAAATCAGAATGTGAACTTGTTCCAGGATGTTTGAGAATAGAAAACCCATAAAACTGATGAAGCAACTTTGGGTGGTCTGAACAATGGCAGAAAAGACAATTCAGATGAAATAATTAAATGTATCTATGCACAAAACCCTAAGTAATTTCTTGTTTTAGTGTTTGAGAAGTTCTCTTGGTGACCAGGAGAAAAATTGTGGAATAATATCTCTAGTCAAGAAGCACTGTGTGAACAATAATAACCAGAAGCTAAAATCAGTTAGCTCCACTTCACCATTGAAATCTAGAAAGTAACAAAACGTATGAGATGCTTGAAGCAGGGAAACAAATGCTTATATGCCCACAGACCCTTAAGAGATCTTCCAGACCAAACTTTTTTTAAAATGAAGGTCCTGAGAACTAAAGAAAGATGACTCCTCAGCAAATCAAGAGCAGAGCAAGGTATGGGTCCCAGTGGTCCTAACAACAGCTTCCCAATCTTTCATTAGAACACACTGTCTCTTTAGAAAGTCATTCATTTATTCAACAAAGACCAAGTAAGCACCTACTATATGCCAGTCACAGTGAAACCCACAGTGAACTTTTTCTACTCTAAATATTTTCCTATAGAATGCCATTAATCTTTAAGACTAACTCTACCAAAAAGATGAATGCTCTTTAAGTTTATTCTTCACCTTTTTAACAGACTTTCTGGGTGCTGAGTCAGATTGTTTATATCTATACATATGCCTACATTTCAAGACTTTTAGGGGAAAATATTAACAGTTTTCATAATAAAACCTCAGCAACTCAGAGACCAGCCTGAAGAAACCCTCAGTTTCCCAAAGTAACCTATACCCTCAAATAAACAAAACTAACTTGGTAACAAGGCAGAAGATTTTTGAGAGCACATGACAGATAAGGAGAGATGGGAACCCCAAAACATGGTGGTTGTGCTAGACCAATGATCTTCATTGCTTGCTGTTGACTTCAAAAGGCCAAAATTTTTCTGTAGAAGCCAAAACATGTAGAAAAATTAATAGGTAGAAGAGAAAAACAAGAGGAAAGAAAGCATGAAATAATGGATGTGAGTAGTGATAACAGGAATAAATAATGATGGTGGCTGGAAGATAAGGGATGGTGGTGAAAGGAGCACTAAGTTGTAAACACAGAGAAGGAGCCAGGAAGACGGAGTAGGACGTGTGCAGCTTTGTGATGCGGGACACAAGAGTGGGGTGGGGGAACAACCTCTCACACCTCTCTCCTAAAGTCACAGAAGGCCAAAACCCTACAGACTCACAACACGAAGCTGGTGCAATCATGCTGAAGTGTGTGATTTACACTAGGACATGCCCCACTAAGGAAAATCCAGGGATGGGCACAAATGGGTTCGCTTCACAAGAAAATGGACATTACAGAGAAGACAAAAATGCTCATGAATCTGCAATTCTGAACTATCTACTTCTGTGACACAGATCGTAATTGGTAGTCACTAAAGTTCTCTACAGGTTCAGTGCTACCAGTAGCATTGAACACAGTACAATATGATATATTCAAGGAAGAATACCCAGACTGTTCTGAAAGGAGGGGTACTTAGGAATGCAATCCCCAAATTCCTCTACATCTCTGCTTCTTGACTGCCTAGGTTATTCCAATTTTCTTTTCTTTTGCTTGCCTCCAATTACCATCCTCTATTTTAGTAGCTAGCCTGTGCCTTTAGTTTTACTTTATCCACCACGCACTCAATTACTCACTATGATTACTACCATCATTATCATTGTTTTTTAAATGTGAAGGTCTAATTTACCCAAATTTACCAATTTCTTGATTCTTCATTTCTTACATCCTTCTCTTTCATTCTAAATTCAGTCTATCTTATTAAAGTACATCTTGTAATATGTCTCTGAGTGTTAATTTAGTCCTGGTTCCTAAGGGATTCTGTACATCTTTATTCTTAGAATTTAAGTCAAAAATTCTGAACATCTCATGAGACGCCACTACTTCCCTATCCTCTCCAACACTTCCTTTAGGACTCTGACTAGAACCCCTCTCTTTCCAGCCCTCATCACTCCGCTCTGCATCGGGACCAGGCACACACCCCCATCCTGCAAACCCTACCTCTGCCTGTTTAGTGATGCTGTTGGTCAAATCTGCTTTATTCCCCATCAGTATTTACTCCATCTTTTGTCTCTTCAGTCATGTGAAAATATAACCTCTTTTGGACCATTTTATCCTCTTCTATTTTTAAGGCATACATCCTCCATAGGTTCAGGAAGAAAGGTGCATGCAGGGGAAGAGCGACACTTGGGGCAAAGAAAGACTGACTTAAAATGACTTCTTATAGTCTTTAGTGATTCAAAGTAAGAAACAGTTGCTTGGGGGTGGGGTGGGACAGGGACAGTGGACCCCTCAAGGAGTATAAGAACTCTGTAAGGCCCTTTCCAAAGGCCCCAGGCCTTCAGACTGAGCAGTGCCGGCCCATTCTCTTATCCCCTTGGAAAGCACTGCACCATTCAACTGATGCTAATACTGGGAGGGATGACATCCCTTAGGTGTGGTGGGCTAGAAAAGTATAAAAAGATGAAAACAACTGTTTTAAGCATCTAGAATTTATTTCTTTAAAAGATGAAAAACAAAACTGACCTTTTTCTCCCCAGCTGCCTGCTAGCTGCCCTATATCATGTATTAAATATATCTTTCCTTCCCCATTTGTGTTTGAAACTGACTTCTAAGTTACTGAAATACTACTGAGCTTTCTATTCAGTTCTATTGATTGATTCTTCTAATTTTATAGCAGTATCAAACACAATTTCAATGTCTACTCCTTTGGCTTTTAAGCTTATAATAGAACTCTTCAGAAAACAAAGTATTCTTCACCCACTTTATTTTGTAGAGAACTCTAACATCACTTCTCTTTCCTGAGTTCAAAAAAAGGTAAAGGTTAAGATCCTGCATATGTCCAAATTATTTTATAAAATATTAGCATCTTTAAAGTATCTAATCTTCCTACCTAAAATACAATCTCTCTCATTAATCAAGTTACCCTTCAGCTCTGTGTCTTTCCAAAATCTATCTCAATAAAATAGATTGCATGGTATTTTACTTTCATTAAGTATGGAATTATTCCTTTTTCCTATTTAAAAGTAGTTCTAATCAGTTCTAGACAATTCTCAAGGGTTTTCTAGGTCCACTCAAGGCTATTACCAATTTTGCCCAGACAATAAACAAGTATATCAGGTGTTCATGAATCTCATCTTATTGCATCCATTGGAACGTTCTGTACAATATCCAGCTACAGCTGTGGCACTTTTCTCTCTTCCTTCCCTCTTCTCACCCACCTGTTCAACACTGGCATCAAACAATATCACCCAAGACATGGGAGGACAGTAGAACTTGTCTACAATTAAGTTTTTAAGGAAATGCATGGTACATTACCAAGATTTTCAACAGAGAAACACAGGTTTAAATGAAGTCAGGTCCACCACTAAAACAGTTAACAATAAATTACATGGGAAACTCAGCATCTAGAATATCTCACTGAGAACTTTGCTGTGCTAAATTCAAGGCTTTCCTTCAACTTGGCAGGAAAAAGACTAAGTTACAAAACTGAGGACAAGAGAGCTAGTTTAAGACCAATTTAATTCTTTATGTGATAGGTAATCAAAAACAATGTTCTCACAGTACTTAACTAGATTAGAATATGATTCTTTTAAAATGATAATTAATTAAAACTACAAAAATATTCATACAGTTCCATAAGAAAATGAATTGTACTAATATTACTAGGATTAAAATTAGAAGTACAAATTAACATTGAATTTGTTCTTAAGTATGGCACTACAGAAAGGATAATGGTGAAAATTAATTTGCATTTATACTTGTTTAATATAATTAAGAGCCCTAAAGAAATAAAATACTAATCAGTAAGGAAATCATTCCCACTGAATGATAGTCATAAAATAAGGATGGTCTATTTTTCCAATGCTTCTATAACAATTTAAAACTTACCTTATTTTTAACAATGGTTCTACCCTTAAAATGTGGTGAAACAAGATATTTAAGAATTCTTCAGGATCTAGAAGAAAATAAAAAATTAAGTTAGTCATAGGCAAAACTTTAAAATCATTCTATTCTTTACAAATCATATTTTTAAACTGAATTCAATTTCATCCACTCAGTAAATTCACTTTAATTAAATGCATAGTTTTCAAATTTTCCTGATAAGGATATTTATATGTTACAAGAAAGTTTTGTGTTCCAATTCTGTTACAACTTTATTTCATTTGAAAGGTATAATCATTCACATAGAGTGAAATAATTTTACTTTGGGCAGTTTAAAATAAGTGGGACAAAATCTGAAGTATCCCCTGCTTTTTCTTACTGTTAATTATCAAGACTCTAAGCATCATAGCTGGTTAGGCACACTGTTAAAACTCCAAAGTCAGAGGCTGAATCTTTGCATAAATCCATTAGCTATGAATAGATTAAAACACTAACCAAGGGCCAGGGATTTAGCTCAGTGGTTGTGCCGCCTGCTATGCAGGTGTACGGACCAGAGTTTGATCCCCGGTACAAAAAAAAACAAACAAAAACCACTAACCATAAACTTAATCTTAGTCAGCTGTTTAATAATGCCCTCTTACAAGAAAAACTAAGTGCCTGGGGCCGGGGATTTAGCTCAGTGGTTTCACTCCCTGCTGCACAAGAGCAAGGACCGGAGTTCAATTCCCGACCAAGTGGGAAACAGATGACTCAATGCATCCCTTCACCAAAGAAAGAGAAACAACTCATATCATTGCTCCATGGAAAGCAAAGAACTTTTGATCTATTCATTTAATACAGTAGAACCAAGGTAGCCTCTTAAAGGGGTTCATTATTGCACATCACTGTATTTTCCAAAGAGAGGAAGAATTTACAAAACAGGGAGAAAAATGTGTATCATATAGAAAAAAGTTCTTTCTTTTATTGTTCATTTGTTTGTTTTGGCTGTGCTGGGAATCTGAACCCAGCATACCAGGCAAGTACAGTATTCTACCACTGAGCTATAGCCCCAGGCTCCCCAATTCTAATTTAAAATTAAACCACAAAACCACACAGACACACGTTTTAGTTAATCATTTAACATATTTACATGGTTTCAAGTTTTTTTCAATGCATATGCTATAAAGGAAGATGGTCACCTTTTTCTTCAGAGGTAAATCCAGATGCAGCTTCAACTTTTTCAAGTATTTTCCTCAGTTTCATAATTTTTGTGGCACATACATATCCATATCTATGTTAGTAAAAAAACTATTAGTTAACTGCTACTGGCATACATAATAAATTATGTAATATATTTTAATAATGACATATATAATTCTAACATGTGACATATCAATAGAGTAGGCAATTGAAGAATACAGTTACAGGCTTCTTATTGAAGTTTAAAAAATTACCAAAATTACCCCAGACACTATTATACACTTTAAAACAACTGTCATATAATAATGGGAGAAAAATATTTTTTAAAGTTTACAGTGATTAATTTCTTAACTAATTTTTGCTTAGGAAATTATTTACTTTATAAAATAGAATACACCATTTTAAGAGAGAAAGTTCTTTCCATACCATAAAATATAACAGCTACCAAGGAAAATAAGAAAGGGAACTGATGAGATATTGAAAATCTACAATCTGCAATCAAATCAACCAGCATCATTATGCCATTTTCTCTCATGTTTGTCTGAGTACAGGACACATTCAATAAGCTCAATGTCAATCCTTTACAAAATTCTACTTCTAAAAATGACTCCAGAAGAGACTTCAGTGGCCACTATGGCCTTAATAAAGGCAAGTGAGAATCACTTCATCTTATAAGTGCTTTTCTATACTGGCTATTCATTCATTATTAACTCTCTTCAAACAACATACATTTGAGCAACTGCTACATACTACTCTAACTTGTTAGCCACTGGAACTACAAAAGGAGTAAGATGAGAAAAGCAGGGTCTCTACCTCTGAGAAGTTTGTGAGGGAGAAAGCAAGATTTCAGTATCAAACACAACCACAAAGCAAAAACAGAGATACGGGTGCTGCAAACACAACGACTCTGGATTGCTACAGGCCACCTGACAAGTTTCTTATCATGGACAACAGGATCCAAAGAATGTTTCACACATTCTGTAGGCATAACATTCTGTAGGGCATAACACTGGGTTATAACAACCTAGCCCACACTTTTCTACTGTAAATTTGTACTTTAGCATAATAGTAGCCAGCTGTGCACCTCAGTAGCTGTACCTGGGAGATAGAGAACCAATCTCTGTGTCTACCCACTTGGTACAATGAACAACAAAGTGTGTGCATGTGTTCAAAAGTGTCAAACTGGGATTTTTACCCACATAATGCTCCGGCTAACAGGTTTTGCATATGTTTACCTGAGCATCACAGGGGGTAAAATATACCCACACCACTCTTGTGGTATGTAAGCATGTATTTTACCATAATGGAATGTGGATGTGACTCACAGTAGCTGTGCCTGAACAAAGCAAAAGCCCATCTGTGTGCATTCACCCACGTGGCAGATGAATGGCAAGGTGCATTTAGGATTTGTTTTTTAAAAAGTTTTCTTTTGATTTTTCTGGCAGAAGTAGCCCAATTCGGTACAATGGCACATGAAAACCTAGATTTGCAAGTTTTGGAGGAGGTCGAAAGTGAATCATTATATTACTCATACAAGGATGATAAAGATGATAATGACTTTAATGTTGGCCATGTAAATCAAAGTTCCTATGACAGTGAAATGGAGCAAGATTAGACTAATACAGACATGAGGAATGCAGACTTCTTTGATTCAGATGACCAAAAAAAAAAACAAAACACCAATGTGAGTACATATTTGACTAGTCGAAATGGTACAAAATGGTCACGCAACCAAATAGAATGATCCAATGTTAGAACTAGGTCTGAAGATATAGCGAGGTCTTGGCAGGAGTAAAACCTATTGGACAAAATGCCAACACTTCCATTCAATGTTGGAAATTGTTTGTAATAGAAAAAAATGCTACAACATGTTGTGAAATATACAAATGCTGAATTACAAGTAAAACGTTCTGTATGCACCAATTGCCACATTCAAAAATGTATTTATTATGACACCTCACTAGCTAATAAACTGAGAGCACTCATAGGTCTGCTGTACTTAACAGGGCTTTCTCATGGTAATTGCAGGAATGTAAAAGACTTATGGAAAAAAACGATGGGTGTGAGCTTGAGGTTTGTAGAATAACAATGACACTGAAGAGATTTGGTTTCCTTCAAAATTGCCTGAGGTTTGATGGCAAAACTACTCACCAAGAAAGAAAAAGAACTGATAATCTGGCCGCTACCCACTCATTTTTTGAGAGATTTGTGGGTCAAACAATTTACACACCATCTGAATACATGACTAGTGATGCACATCTTGCAGCATTTCATGGTCGCTGTAGCTCAGGCAGCATATGCCACAAAAAATCTTCAAAATATGGCATAAAAATTTATACCCTTGTAGATGTAAAGATGTATTATGCTTTCAATTTAGAAATTTATCCTGAAACTCAGCCACTAGGCCCTTATTTGTATAGTAATAAACCGAATGATGTTGTGAACAGACTTTTTGTTCCAATCTCCCAAACTAATCGGAATGTGACATGCAACAGTTGGTTTATCAGTTTCCAACTGATGCTACATTTGCTAACAGAGCACAAGTTGAACAGCATAGTAACTGTATACAAGAACAAAAAACAAAGCAGAACACAAGAACAAAGCAGAAATTCCAAATGAAATGTTGCAATTCCAAAATAGAGAATTACATAGCACAATCTTTGGATTTTGGAAAGATATAACACTGGCCTCATATATGGCAAAGAAAAGCAAACCGGTATTGCTGATGTCAACATTCCACCATGATGGAAATATTGGTAGGGAAACCTCAACAAAACAATAAACAAAAAAAGCCAAAACTATAAAGCCAAAGGCCAATGATGTTGTTGATGAGTTATACAGCAACCATGATGTCACTCAAAACACAAAGCATTGGCCAATGGTCATGTTTTACTCAATCCTAAACATGTGTGACATAAATAGTTTTACAAAGAAAATAACAAGTGCAAAATACCATGGAGAAATTATTTTAAAGGATTGGGACTAGAAGTCATAGATCATTTACAGCAGAGTAAAAACAAAATGTTTGTGCCCAGGGAACTATGCAAAAAAATTGTGGAGCACACTAGTGAGCTGACAGGTGAACAGTCAGGTGCAACATCACAAAGACCCACTACAACAACAGTAAAACCAAAAAGATATCAACTGTGCCCAACAAAAAAAGGACAAGAAAACAAAACATGTGTGCCATTAATGTAAGCAATACTTATGAATGGAGTGTGCAGTTTTCATGTGTGAAGACTGTGTTGGTATGAAGGAAAGATTATTTCTGTGGTAGACTTTTGTTTGTATTTACATTGTAGTTCACATAGGTATTTATTTCTGATGTTATCTTTTAGGTTTTGTAAGCAAATAAACAGCTGATATGAAAATACTGACGTCTATTCTAAGTACTCATTACATATTTGATATTTTATTGTTATCTTATTTTCCTTATTGATATCTTATTTTTATTTTATTGATATTTTATTTTCCTTATATCTTATTTTTCATTATATAATATACTAAGAAGCTCCTGACAAAAGAGAGGTGACAAGAACGGCCTGTCTCACAGAAAGAGAAAGCTAAATACATGTGCTATCAGTAGACTCTGTACATAAAAAAACAGTTGTGGAAAACTTTGATGCTTTTTTATAAACGATAAATATAAAAATTCGATACTTTTAAAATTTTTTTCCTGTTAAGTACTCATTAACATAATAAAACTCATAAAATTAAAATTAATAATTTAACAATATATATGTGGGTATTTTACACCCACGGCAATGTGCCTTTATGACAAAATTGGCATTATTAATAGGCTTATGGTATTTTAGAAAGAAGGAAGGAGGTAGTACTATGCCTTACAGCAGTGATGGCAAATCTACGGCACCTGTGCCACAGTGCCTTCTCTGTCGGCCCACAAGCCAAGTCGGGGTAACAGTCAAGCATTGGATAACAGTGTTTTTTCTAAACTAAAACCTGAGTACTCAGGTTTAGTCACAGTGTTGGCACTTTAAGATAAATAAGTGAGTTTGGATTGCAGTTTGAGCATTCAGTCTCTAAAAGATTGCCATTACTTCCTTAGAGTTTTGAGTTTGACTTGTCTTGTTCTAGTATCAACTATTTGGAGGAAAAATTAAAAGTTTGTTTAAAAGTTTGTCTAAGACCAAATAATGTAAAAATCAACATTCATAATTCTCATAAAGCATAAAATAATTATAGAATTTAAGGAAAATAGACAACATAAGTGGGGAGATTTATTCTTTTATAGTTTACTTTGCTAACCATATGATACAGTAGGTCGTTTAAAATGCTCATTAGTTTATGGCCATACCACCCTGAACATGCCTGATCTCATCTGAAATGCTCATTAAATTTTAGGCTTTGCATGATCAAAATCTTATATCTAACTAACTCTCTTAGTTTTTATTGTTAAATAAGAAAAGTAGGTCACAAAATTTAAATTTAACTTAGTATGGCCTTTAAACTAGAGTTCCTCTGTGTTCCTGATGAACAAAACTGTTTTATGATTTATGGCCATAATTCTTCACAGTTTAAAATTTACAATGTGACACCATCAATGCATCACTAGTACCACTTATCAAAAGTCTTTATAGACGATCTCTGTCACTTGTGCTTATACCATTGCAAATAGCTTCATGTGACCCAAAAAGTAGACATATTTATAATTCCTAAACTGGGCCGGGGATTTAGCTCAGTGGTTTCGACGCCTGCTACACAAGCGCAAGGACCCAAGTTCAATCCTCGATACCAAAAAAAACAAAAAACAAAAAACTTATAATTCCTAAACTAAGGAATAAAAGAAGAATCACCTTGGTAAAGTAGATGAAAGGAGGGCTAAATATATTTCTTTAAACAAAAAGCATATTACTAAACTATACCTCATCTGTTTCTAGGACAGAAATATTTAATAGCAGTCATTCTATAAATAAATAATTTTCCTTTTACCTTCTCTTTCAGAGAAAATCAAGTTTGAGAAGCCAGGCTACAGCATTTTGATCAATAAGCATGATTACTATTAGGAGTAGTGCTGGAACAGATTATTTCAAAAGATAAGAAGCCTAAGTACTGTAAATCAGCTTCTCTAAATCTACTGCAATTGCTAACTTGTAGTATACTTTACCAAAATGGTTTTAATCATTTCATGGAACATACTATGTTCTGTATATCAGCCAGACAAGAAATTAAATAACCAATGGAAGTACAAGAACCAAAGGTTAAACAAAAATCAGTACTTCATCATGAGAACTAAATTCCACCCATTTCTATATTACATGAAAGCAGAGCATAAATCACTTCCTGTACCAGAAAAGAGCAAACAGAACATCTAAAGGCAAAATATAAAATTCTTCTACTTACATTCTCAGAGGATTAACAATTTCAGTCCTCAGTAGTTCTTGTGTTTCACTGTAATACTCTACATCATTCTTTTCTTTGGGTCTAAGTAACACAGTGTCCAGAACAGAACTAAAAGCAAATAAGCTGCAAAATAAAAATAATATTTTTTCTCATGTTATAAACATGCCATTTGTCAGGAGACAGATTTAAAAAGAACCATAAAAGAAAAGAAGCAAAATATAAACAACAAACAGCACAAACATCCATATTTTTCACGAACATAGGGACCTAAGAGCCCCTGTAAAGGTTCCTAGCACAGGATCTTTTCACAGTAAGGAGAAAACTAACACCAAGAGGCCAATTACAGATTGACAGTGTTAAAGGATAAAAATATGCCCAAGCATATTAAGAAAACAAGCTTCTGTGCAAAAGCTAAAAGAGGGCCCACAAATCTGAGTCACACTACAAACATGTAATATAGAAGTCTGGAAACTACTTCTCAGAGCAAACACCATACCATACTCCTCTCTTCCTTTTTGTCCCTTTGCCAAATCCTAAGTTCTTTAAGATCACTTGTGAATGACTAATAACAGAAACTTGCTAGTATGAAAGAAAACAGAATTTGGCTAGTATAGATTTTTATCAGGAAATCTGAAGAATATTACATCAGTGGTATAAAGGCTTGTTTATGTCAACACATCCAAGACACCGAATGCTCTGCCAACAAAATGGCTCACCACCTTCATTCTTTTCCCTGCTTTTCAAGTGTTAACATCCCATATCAACTTCCTAATTCTAATGACACAGTGTGCAGGTCTGGCAAGTTACCTCAGTTTACCTGGTACTGCACAATCCTCAGGGCCTAAAGTTTCTTGCTTCAATCTTCAGAGCCTAATGATTCTTGCTACGTTAAGTTGTTCCACTTTGGAAAAAAACTACATATATGAGGACAACAGTCCTTGTATTAAAAACATTTTTTAAATGAAGTAGTTTTATGATTGCCTCTGCCTACTAAAACAAACAGGGCACACATCAACCAGTGACTTACTGGAATTCATGCTTTTGATATGTATGCAAAGATATCATATTTATTCACTTCAGATGCCCCAGGTATATGTGTCCCACATGTATCATTTTTTTTTTTTTTTTTTTTGCTTAAATTCTTTTATTGGTACATTTTAGGTATACAGTATGTTTACATTTATCATTGGGTGCTTGTACCATCCTTCACTTCTTACTCATTATTCACTGCATTACTTTTTATACTAGCTTTTTAGATGGAGAAATAGAAGAAAACATTTCCAAAGAGTATTTTATGGAAGGCAAATCTCCCTTTCTTGACTCCCAGTCACCCAGTTCCTTCTCGCAGAGGCTGCTGGCAATCTGTTTCACATATAGACATGCAAGCACACACTCACCATACAGGTATCTGCCCCATTATAAACTCACCAAAATAAGGTTGAATCTAAGTAACAAGAATTGTAATGACCCTGGATACCTTTCTTCTTTCCAATCATTATCTCCAAACCTTCTTTTTCCATTTTTGGTGGAGTGTTTTCTTCTACCACTTCACTTAAATAGCCTCCAAATGCTGAAACAATAAAAATGAAAATGAAAAGAATTCTTTTAAACTATTACAGAACATATGTCTTCATTTTAAAGTATCTTTCAGTATGTCAATGTAAAATTTGTTTCTCAACCTTTAGTTAACTGCTATTTAGCCTGTATCATAAAAAAATGCTATTGTTCATTTTCAATCTCACTTCCTCCACAATTTCAAAAAGATGTTAGAGTATTAAGTAACACATAAAAGAGCATCTGTCAAGTAAAATACATCGTTTCCATTATATTTTATTATTTATCCAAAATACTTCCTTTTCAAGCCTGAAAATAAAATTCAAAGCATTACTTTAAGGTTACAAAACATGTTCTTCATAAAGATGCATTTTCTATTTACACCTGCTTAACCCTCAAGATGCTGCACCACTATTGTCCAGGAAACTGCATCAGGAAACTGCCCCCATTCCAGTGTAGAGATAGCTGTCTTCCATTCATCAAGCAAAATGCTGACTCAATAGGACACCCTGATGGAGAGAGGTGTTTAAGCAACACAATGAAGAGAGAATCAGTACTAAAAGAGGGTCATACTTCAATTACTATTTCCTGTACTCCAGAAAATTAAATGTCTAGTCAATAGGAAAGGAAAAATACAACCTAGTATTTCTCACTTAAGTCCCACTTTTCCTAACTAATACTCTTAAAATGAATGAATATTAGCAAGAAAATCATTCAGCAATATACCATCCTTCCTGTAAAATGGTAGGAAATGGAGTCCCTTGTAACGAGTAAATAAATGGAAAGCATCCACTACCTAAGGAGTTGCAACGCTCGATCTGATTGGAGACAGGCTGCAGGGATGCAAACCTAGAGTCTGGCCTGCAGCTCTTCAGTTTCACGAACAGTGCCTTCTTCAGGGCACAGGTGAAATATCGAGTGCCCCTGAAGGTTCCATCTGTGCAGCCTGCACATTCATCCTCCTGAAAAACAAAGACTTCAATATGTATATACGCCCCTTACAAAGACAGCACTTGAAGAATTTATGTGTTGAACATGTGTTCCTAGTTTACCCTTTCTCTGAATTCCCTCTTTATTTCTGTAATGTGAACTATATCAAGAAGGGGTTGGTGCCTTAGCCTACAGCTAATGACTTAAGAATTTAATTTCTAAATCCTGAAGGAGGTCCTCAGTGCATTTCTTCAAGAATATATGCCTATCCTTTCCCCGATTAACTGAATTTTCTGCACCATTTCCACAAGTAGTAAAATGAGGGGTGAGATGGGAAATGCAGCTCAGTGGTAGAGCACCTGCCAATAATGCACAAGGCCCTAGGTTCCATCCCCAGCAATACAAAATAAATAAATAAGCAAATAAAACCGAGGGGAATGAGGAAGCTAATTATTTTAATTCTTTCTCCAATGGTGTTCACTAGTATGGAAAAAAACAAGCAAGGAAAAAAAAAAACCCAAGAAATATCAGCTAAATGCATTCAAATTCTCCTCTCTTGACTATGAAATGCTGACGACCTCTAAAGGGAAAATCTTTCTACCTACCAAGAGCTCAAAAGATCTCTAGGTGATTAATTTTAAAGCCGTATTTGATACAGCTCTGTGGAGAAGGAAGCTGAGGAAGGAAAAAAAAAACAGATTTCTTTCTGTGCAGCTTTTTAATAAGAAGAGATCCCACTTGTTGATTGTTTAGGCTAGTTCACGGGCAACTGAGGTTTTGTTCATAAAATCTTTTTTCCTGCACCAATGTTTTCAAGAGTTCTACCTAACCTCTGTTCCAGCTGGTTCAGCATTTGTTTTAATATTTAGATCTTTAATCCATTTTAATTTTAGTTTAGTGCATGGTGAGAGATATAGGTCTAGTTTTAATCTTTAGCAAATTGAAACACAATTTTTCCAGCACCATTTATTAAAGAGACTATCTTGGAAATCAGTATGGAGATATCTCAAAGAACTAGGACTGGAAGTCCCATTTGACCCCGCTATTCCCTTGCTGGGTATCTTCCCCCCAAAATTAAAAGGATCATACCACAGTGATATATGTGCACCCATGTTCATAGCAGCACAATTTGTAATAGCTAAAACTTGGAAACAGCCCAATTGCCCATCAACTGGAGAGTGGATAAAGAAAATGTGGGTTTTTTAATAAAATGGAGTACTACTCAGCCATAAAGAATGAGAAATTAGAGACATTTATGGCTAAATGGATGCACATTGAGGCCATACTCTTAAGTGAAATAAATAGTACTCACATGTGTAAATACTGAATAGTTTCTCTAGTGTGAGAAACTGAAAGTGTAAATAAGGACTAAAAGATATAATAGATAATGTGAAATAGGAAGAAAAGGGGCAAAGGGGAAGAGGAAGTGGGAGGGGTAGGGGAAAGGAAAGAAGGGAATGGAATTCATATGAGAAAATGAAAAAATGGAAACAAAGTCTTTGTAAATAGAGAGGGATGGAGGGGTTGAAGGGAGGGCAGGGGAAGGAGGAAAAATAAGAACCAAGAGAGATTATATAAAAGTGCAAATTTCCAATGATGAATGTCATTATATTGTATACCTAAAATGTACCAATACAATTAGTTTTTTAAAAAAAACAGATTTTCTCTCCTTATTGCATTCCTTTTAATAAAAGAAGCCTGGAGCTGGGGATTTATCTCAGTGGTTCCACTGCCTGCCTTGCAAGCACAAGGAGCTGATTTCAATCCCCGGTACCAAAATTAAAAAAAATTATTAAAAAAAATAAAAGAAGCCTAAATACATTAGCCTAAAAGCTAATTTTTATTCTTTGAATATACTCAACTAACATTAAAACAAGTTAGCAGAAGCTTAAGGGGTAGGCAAGTCAGGCAACATGGTAATAATATTTTTCTCTAGTAATGGCTTTTCTGACAAATACAACAGTTAGCCAAAACAAAACAAAAAAACCCAACACACATACACACACAAACACACACACTCACACACACACATACACATACAAGAAAAATATGAACAAAACCCCATACAGAAAAGAACTGCAGTTTTTAGGTCAAATTTAATTACCAGTTCCAGTCCAGCTAGTATTTCATTGAGCCCCGGTGGCTGACCAATCCAGCGGATGACCCCATAAAAAGGAGGATTTTCCTTCACTTCAGCCAGTGAGCCTACTTCCAGACCATGTGAGTTACCAGAGGATACGGGCAAGGGCGGGCTCTCCTGCACAGGAGCACTATTCAACTCGCCCATCACAGACTGCACAGACAGCGACAGCGGACTGTGAGCCATGCTACTATTGGTGTTGGGCATCTTCGTCAGACTGAAGGGCAGAGAGTGAAACCTGTTCTCGCTGGATAAGGAGTTCATAGAAGGAGGCTGCAGTGGTGGTGAAGAATGTCCAAACTCTGGAGATAAATCTGTAAGTGACTTCGCAGGATCTTCTGCAACTTTGAAAAATTATTCTTAATTAGGGAAATGTATTCAAGAATATCTAAAAATCAATATATAGATTTAGTTCAACTGTCCACCTGACCTCTCTACTAGGATTCTTACAGGCACTACAAATTTACTATCTCTACAATAGTGTTCTTGCTTCTCTTCCCCACCTCCAAACTTTCCTACCTCAGTCAATGGAACCCAACTGTTAAAAATTCTATTACTGATTGGCATTACCTAAGATATATTCTTTGTCTGTAATATAATTAAGTTAGAAACCAATACAAAAAGATAATCAAAAATTAAGAAACAATTCTAAATAACTTATGGAACAAATAAGACATGCTAAGTTTTAAAATGAAAGAAAAGGAAACAATACAGAACGCTGTGAAACACATATAAAGTAACACTCACAGAGGAAATTTACAGATAGCTAATTTTGGAGAGAAAAAGCTAGCTATTAATGAACTCAGCATACAACTTAAGATGTTAAGAAGAACAAAACAACCCCCAAAAGTATGCAAGAGAAAAATAACAGAACAAAATTAACAAAAGAGAAAAAAACAAAATAAACTCAAAGCCAGGATAAACACAAAAACAAAACAAAAAATTCAAGACAAAACATACAATAAAGAGAATCAAAGCCAAAAGCTACTTCCTTGATATGATTAACACAGCTGACAGGCAGACACAGCAGATCAGTGGGGAAAAAAATGAACTCCTTAATAAACAGGGTTGAGATAATCAGCCATCCATATGTTTAAAAATTCTAATCTTGAATGCTACTCATACTTGACAGAAAATCAATTCCAAGTAGCTTAAAAACAAATGTAACAAGCAAAACTGTAAACTTTTAGAAGGCAATATAGAGAAATTTCTTAAATATAAGTATGAAAACCATAAAAGAAAAAAGATTGACAAATATGGCCACATTTAAATTAAGAACTATTTATTCATTAAAAGGCTTCATGAGAGTGAAAATTTGAGCTAGAGAAAAAAATCAGCAAAACATATAGCTAACCAAAGATTAGAATTTGAAAAATATTTATAAATCAGTAAGAAGACAAAAAGAAATACCGGAAAAAAGCAGAAAAAAACTTGGAAAGGCAATTCACATAAGAAGAAACACAAGTCAGCAACAAATAACTAGAACATTCTTGCTCTCATTAGTAGTTAGATAAATGAAAGCCAAAACCAATACAAGATATCATTTCAAAAGTTAAAAGTCTTACAACATTAACTGTTGGTAAGAATGAGGATTAACTTGGTGCTTACACAACACTGGTAGGAGTGTGCTATAGACTACATGTCTGTACTCTAAAAGTTATGTTGAAACCACTCAATGTGAGGGCATTTGGAGGTGAGGTCATTGGGAAGTGATTAGGTCATGAAATCATGAATGAGATGGGTGCCTTATAAAGGGGGTACCCGCGAGCTCCCTTGCCTTTCTGCCATGTGAGGATACAGCAAAAAGATGGTTGTCTTTGAGCCGGGAAGTGAGCCCTCACCTGACACTAAATCTTCAAGAGCCTTGATATTGGATTGCCTGGCCTCCAGAACTGTAAGAAACAAGTTTCTGTTGTTTATAAGCCACTTAGCCTATGGTATTACGCTATAGCAGCTCAAACAGACTAATACATGCATAAAATGATATAACTACTTTGACAGTTTGTCATTATTTACTAAAGAGGTACTCATTTTATTTCCCAATAATACCACTCCTAATTACACACCCTAGACCAGTGATGTCAAACCTTTTAGAGCTTTCAATGATACAAACAGGCTGCTGCAGCACACATGCCATAGGTTCGTCACCTCTGCCCTAGACACATGTAAGAATACTAATAGAGCTGTTCATAATAGCAAAAAAATAAAAAACAATTTAAATGCCCACCAATGGTCAAAAGGATAATAATTTTTGCTATATTCCAATTGCAGAATACTATATGGCAATGAAAATTAATAAATTAGAATCACATACTGCAAATCACACGAATTTTAAGACATAATGTGACAGGAAAGAAATTATGCAGCAATATCTACAATCTGAGTCTTTACATATAAAGCTCAGAAACAAAAGAACTAACAATATGCTATGTAGATACACAAACATACTAGTAAAACTATAATGAAAATCAAGAGAATAAAACATTAAAGATGATAGTAGCTCATAGAAGGGAATGAAGAGAATAGGATGAGAAGAGGCACTGAGGGGACGTCAAAGGCAATTACAGTCTTTCTCTTAAAGGAGGAATGACTACTCGGGTACTTATTATACTTTCTTTATATTTCATCCTCCTAAGACTCCTTAGTAATAAGATTGTTATTGTTTAGATCTAAAATGTCCCCCAAAAGACTCATGTTCAGAGGTGGGGCTTTTGGAGGGTGCTTGGACCATGAAGGCACTATGGCTGATTTGCTGTTAGGAGGTGGGCCCTGGTTGGAGGTGGGTCACTGAGGTGTCACCTGGGAGGATGTCCCCAGCTCCTTCCTGATGTCTCTACTCCCTGGCTGCCATGACATGAGCACCTTTCCTCTGCCCAGGCCCATCCACCATGCTGTTTCTCTTAAGAGTCAGCCAACCATGGAATCAACCCACTGAAACTATGACCCAAAATAAATCTTCCTCCTTTAAGTTGGTGGGTATTGGGTATTTTATCCCAATGACAAGAAAGTGACCAAGACAAAGATTTAATCTAAAATCTTTAAAAAATCATTCATTCTTCTCTTTCCCAAACCCTCCACTTCTGAGGCCCAATACCTAAATCCAGAAAGCAAGTGTCCATTCCTTTCTCTTAACTTCTACCAGCAACTCCTTGATTGAAGCCACCACCATTCATCATCTTGTAACCAGCCTCCTACCAGATCTTCTTGCCTTTTTCTATTTGTCATAGCAACTAGTAAGACCTTTTTCAAACTGAAGGATGTTAGGTGACTGTGTCATTCTCCAGTTTAAGACCTCCTGATTGCTTTCCAGTGCCCTTAGAAAAAGTACTACATATATTTCCTAGCTTGACCTAGGAGCCCCTGGGTGATCTAACTCCTACCCACTTATCCAAACTTGCTACATCCCATATTTCCTTTATTCTGTAGACACTATGCCTACTTCCTATTTTTCAAATAAACTTTCTCATCTCATCTCAAATACACTTTCTATTTCCTCTGCCTGGAATGCTTCTGTCAAGCTCTTTCTCTGGCCAGTTCATGCTCATCATCCAGATCTCAATTCATATACCCTTTCCTCGGCCTTTTCCAACCACCCTGTGGCAGCCAACTTAACACTAGCCACTACACTCTGTTCATTTTCTTCAATACACATGCCACAACCCACTACCACCTTGTCTGTTTACACATTTATTGTCTATCATACAAACTACACAAATAGAATGTAAGTTCCATGAGAACAGTAATTTTGTTAGTTTTTCTCCTGGGTGAATCAACATTGCTTGGTATATCACAAATACAAGAAAGTACTCATAAAATATTTATTTCAAAAAAGTAAATTAATCACATGTTGTAGAGAAATTCTTTTTAAAACTTAAGAACAGGACTGTTGGTTCTTAACAGTAATACAAGAAATTTCTATACTGTTTTCCAAAACGGTTTTATCATTATATTCACATTAGCAGTATTAGAAAGTTCTAACTGGTTCACAACTAAGCTGACATTTGTTCCTGTAAAACTTTTAACTTCATCTCCCTAATGAGTGTATAATACGATCTTGTTATTGTACTGATTAGCATTTTTCTGATTCTAGTGTTGCACACCTTTCCTTGTGCTGTACTGGCTATTTATCATCTTCTTGTGTCTACTTTTTAATTGGGTTGTCCATTAATGAGTTGTAAGTTCTTTATATATTCTGGTCATAGGTTATATGCATTGCAAAAATGGTCTGTTTAAGGACTACTTTTCATTTTAACGATGTCATTTAAAGTTCTAAATTTTGATGGAATCTCATTTATCAATTTTTTTCTTTTATACATCATGTTTTTTATACCCTAGGAAATTCTTGCCTACCCTAAACTCATAAACATTTTCCCTTATAATTTCTTCTTAAAGTTTATAGCTTAAGTCTTTGATATTTAGGTTCACAGATCCTTTCACGTTATTTTTATATATGGAAATAAAGGGTTGAGGTTAATTTTAAAAAGAAAGAAAAGCTTTTTAAAATGTTGTATAAGTAAAATTAACTAAAAGAACAATATTCTTTTGCAACTAAATCACTTCTATTTTCTAGTTTCATACAAATTTCATTCTTTTATGTTCCATGTAGGTCTTTTAGGACCAATATTATCTCATGAAATTATTACATATTAGATTCTAGCAGAATCAAGAAGTTAGGGATATTCTAGTACAATACAGAATCTATATTAATAAGAAATGTGAAATTATAGCATAAACCTGAAAAACTGACATTGCCTAGATTATGAAAACCTTGTGGTTTCACTAGTTTCCTTTCCTTAGAAAAGAATGACCCCATAGGAAAAGCATCAGCAAACCTGCCAATAATGACAGGGCAAGAGGGGACTACACCACAGTAGACCTAGATGGGCCCTGTACACATCCATTATAGAGGTCTCTAGTACTGTAAATTTATATTTTCATTTAGTTTGCATACAGTTACTAAAACTACTGACTGTCAAGCCCTGTGCTGAGTTTAGGAGCTCACAGTCTGGCTGAGGAGAAAGACAAATCAGCAAAATTGCTTTGAGGACATTTGATCTAACCTAGGAGAGGTAGGAGAGTAAAGGAAAGGCTTTAAGGATAAACTAAAGAGCTGAGATTTTAGAGACAAATACCAGTAAGCCAGACCACGCAACTGGAAGAACAGGAAGGACTTCCAGGCAGCAGAAGCAACAGGCACCAAAAAAGAAAGCACACTACATCCTAAGAATGGACCCAGTCCAGTGTGGCTGCGGCAGGAACAAGGGACAGAGCTGAAACAGAGGCCACATCACAGTAAGTCTGTCATGCCAACATCAGGAATTTGGATGCTTATCTTCAAGGGTAGGGAAACATTAATATGTACTGTGCAAAGGAAAGGCATGGATACGTCTTCAGGAAAATCACTCAGAAAAGTGGAGACAGTGTAACGAATATAAGCATGAAGACTAGTGTTAAACAGATCTGGACTGGATACTGGCTCCACTATTACTAATCATGTGACACTGGGCGAGTAATTTAACCTCTGTAACAGAAGTGTACGTAAAAATATCTACTTCATAAAGTTATGATAAAATAAAACAATGTATATAAACAACATAATACATGGCAAATTGTAAGTGGTCAAGAAATGTCAGCTCAATGATATGAAGACAATGACTATGATGATGGTGATGGTGACAGTTACCCAGACACAAAGTTGAAAAGAATGCTGCAAGGAAAGCAGTTAAAAGCCACCTTATTAATCTAGTCAAAAACAGGATCTGAACTAAGACCATGGTTATTAGAAATGAAGAAGCAGAGAGAGATTCCAGTGGTACTGAAGATGAGGAAATCAAGAAGACTTGCTGACAAATAGATGTGACTAAGAGAGAGGGAAGAAGTGGGGAGAGTCACTGATGCAACCCATACTTGCATTTTATACATCTGCTTCATGTCTCCATTTCCACTCACCACACCCTCAGCACACTCCAATCTGGCCTCTGATGAACTTCCTCCACATGAGAGAACTATAAAGGTCACCAGTGACTTCAGATGACTAAATCCAGTGGATATTTTGTGGTCTTCAGCTTGTTTGTCCTCTCAGCATTCAACATGCTGTCCATTTGCTCCTTGGCTTCTTGACCCAACAGTCTTGATTTTCTTCACTTCTCTCTGGTCACTTTTTCTCTGTCTCCTTTGAGGACTCATCTCCCACCCTAGCTATTAAGCCCCTCAAGGTTCAGTCACAACCTATGCCCTCCATCTTCTCTCTCCTTACACAATACTATTCAAAGGACTTTAGCCACCCTGTGATGACAACCTATGCATTTCTTTCTCTGGCTCTAACCTTTCTTCTAAGCTCCAGACTCACACATCCAACAGCCCACTTGATGATTCCTTTTCAGGAAGTTGAAAACATCTCTTCAATTCAACATGTTCAAAATCAAATTCCTCACCTTGTTCCACCACCATCTAAGTATGCAAATCAGAAAACCAGAGGTCATCACTGACACAGCTTTCCTCTGAATTTTCACTTTTCACCCCTATGTAAGTCCTGTCAGTTCAACTCCTGAATCTCAGATTTATCCACTCCATGTCTTCTGCAAGTCTAGTCCCAGATACTACAACCAATTACTAAGACCTCAACAGCCTTCAGTGGTGACCTTGCATTCACACAGTCCCCACTTCAACCTACTGTCTGCCCTGCAGCCAGAATGATCTTTCCAAGAGGCAACCCTGGCCACCCCACCTGTTGCTGAAAATCCTCCAGTAGCTTTCCACTTCTTTTTAATGGGGTGCTCCAGGCTTCCCATGGCCTAGCTCTGCTGCCACACTACTCTTATCTCATTAAAGATCATGTCCATCTCTGCTCTAGCTATACTGGTTCTTTTGGCCCTTGGCAAACAGTAAACTCCATTCTTCCCTGAGCCCTTCAAATATGCTATTCCCTCTGCCTAAAACATCCTTCTGTCCTCTCTCTCACTGTGCCATCCACCACTCCATAAACCTAGGTACCTGTCACTTCCTCAGAAGACACCCCAACACCCTAGGCAAAATCTCAGTACTCCTATGGCATCCCATTCATTGCCCTAATTCCATTGCAATGCCACATCTGCTCTGTGTCTAATTTCTATCCTAACAATTTGACTGTAAACTCAGAAAGGGCAAGGACAATGTCTATTTTTTCCTCACCACTGTAACCTCAGAGAATGTCTGGTATATAATAAACCTCAATAAATATTTGTTGAACAGATGGACAAGAGAATGAGTGTGCCAGAAGAAAAGGATGACCCAGAACAAGGGAAGGTGGAATTTTTTAAAAAGTGTGCTTTAAAGAGGTCAAGAACGACCCAGACAGAAAAGCCTTCAAAAAATTCAATTGATTCTAGAGATCTCCTACTCTAAATAGATCATTAAGAGAACAAGCTACTAAACATTTTAAATGTTTTATTAATCTTAACAGCAGTGCAGTTCAAATTGTGTACAACATTTTAGTTTAGCAACACTAATAAAGGTCTATTCATTGTTTCCAAAAACTGCAAATATTGATTAAAAAATTCCTTTTTTTCTGATGAGTTAAAAGGACAAGCTCATTATAAAGAACACTAAAATGATAGATTACCTTCATCAATGTACCATGTATTTTTTGATTTAGATTGTGGTTGTGAGTCAACAGAAGATCCATTTAAGGTATAAAATAATTCAGATCTATTTCTATTTCCAGGGTCTGAGGTAGATCCTATGAAACAAAAAAAGATTCTTTTAAAAATAAAGTCAATATGTTCTAATAGTTTTTGAATAAGATGAATATGCATACAATGTTAACATCTGTTTGTACAACCAGTAGATGTATATAAACACAATATATTTTATTACTGTCTTCAGCTTTTAAAAATTTGGTGACCCTTTAGAGTCAATGCAGGAGGAGAAGCCTGTTCATTTTTTTAAAATGGAAACTGCCCTAAGAAATCATTTCACATAGTATAGTTTATTTCTCAAGATTACCATTTCCCCAACGCATCTGATGAAGCTACTGATTAACAAATTTAACTTACCACAGCCATGCATCACCTAACGATGTTTCAGTAAAAGACAGACACACATATGACAGTGTTTAGGTGTGTACCAGACTACACCAGCTGGGTTTGTATACACTCTGGAATGTTCGCACAAAGACAAAATCACCTCATGATGCCTTTCTCAGAATGTATTCCTATTGGAAGTGACCCGATTATATTTTAAACCAGCTGCTATCAGAAGAACAGAATCTTCAAATGCTATATACAATTCAGAGCATAAATTAAGCTTAAAAAGATTTAAAGTTCAGGCTGGGGATGTACCCCAGCAGTAGAAATCTTGCTTACCACACACGAGACTCTGGGTTCAATGCTTAGCACTGCAAATATATAAATTTAAAAATTTTTAAATAAGAATGATTCAATATTTAAACATTTTGGAGTTGTTGGTCATCAAATTTATCACTTAATTTCATCATGTCTGAAAAGTGTAGCACTATTATTTCTTCTATATTAGATTTATTGAGCATAAGAGCTAGTATGGCTATGTCACAGACATCTCCAGGCCTGGGACTACCTCAGCATTTACTAAGAGGACATGCCTCAGCAGAGGGCAGTGAGTCTTCAGTGGGAACCCACACAGAAGCCAAGTTTTCCCTTTCAATTTCAAGCAGATAGCTCTACATTTTATACCTTTATCTCAGACCTGCTATAACATAACCAACACTCCATGTTAGGTATGCACAAGTAGTTCCAGCTATTCAGGAGGCTGAGGCAAGGATGATTGCTTGTAGCCAGGAGGTCAAAGCCAGCCTGGACAACATAATGAATCCAATATCAAAAAATGAAAGAAAAGAAAAGAAAGGAAAGAAGGGAGGAGAGAAGGGGAGAGCAGTTGAGGAGGAAGGGGGGAGGGGGAGGAAAAGGAGAAGGAGGAGAAACAAGAAGAGAAGAAAGAGCAGGAGGAAGAGGAGAAGAGGAAAGAAAGTAAAAAAGAAGGGAGGAAGGTAGGGAGTCAAGGAAGGAATAACTATAAGCCCCTTCTTGTATTTTTTATTTTAAGAAAGATCTCACTAAGTTGCTAAGTTACCCAGGCTGGGATCAAACTTGTAATCCTCCTGCACCAGCCTCCTAGAGTGCTTTTTAAATGAGCTGTTGGGTTTGTTTAACTACCACTCTATAAATCTATGAAGCATAGCAAAGCCAACAGAAAAAACGGTACAAATTCAACATTTGATGACAACATATGATGAGGAAGTTCTGGAAGAGACAAAAATTTTTGCTTAGCACCTGTTATTTAATTTGTGCCACATCTACTTAGCAAAATCCACATTATCTCCGGTGCACTTTATCCTATGTAACTCTATCCATATATGATTATATAGTTGTAACACTATACTATACACACACACACACACACACACACAAATATCAAAAGTAGGGGTTTGCAAAACCAGCTGATCATGGACCAGCATAAGATACAAATATTACAGGAAACTTATTAGGTAAAAGATGAGGGAACTGATGGCTTAAGCAACACCGTCTACTTAAAATTTTAGTTTACCAAAAATGTTTGAAGGAAGAAAGTCTACATATATGTTACAGCATAATGGTTTATAACCTCTTTTAATGCCTGGGCAAATCAGGTATCATGTAAATTATCAAAAATTGTATCTTGCTAATCCATACCTGTAGCCTTTGGTTTATTATGACTGGATGAACCTTTGTCCCCAACACCTCGTGACATAAAGGCAAGTTTGGGAGGCCTCCTTTCCTGTGTCATGCTATCTGAAACAGTAAACATGTTTTTTAAAGATAAAAGCAAATTTTTATGGAACAGAAATACGAAAACAATGACAATAACAAAAACAAAAAGCCTCTTTCCAACAAAAAGCACAATTTTTAACAACATTACAAATTATTTTAAAGACCATCAAGAGAACAGCAATGCTGTATTTCAAAATACAATTTCTACAAGAAAATATACTGCCAAAGTACAATTCAGCTAAATGCTTTAAAGTCTTGACAGCTCAATAATATGTAGTCAATTTTTGTTTGTTTGTTGGGGGTTTTTTTTTTGTTTGGTTTGGTTTTTGTCATACTGGGCACTGAACTCAGAGCCTTCACAGTGAGCCACATCTCCAGCCCTTTTTTATTTTTTATTTTGATACTGCATCTCACTAAGTTGGTAAGTTGTCCAGGGTAGGCTCAAACTGGGAATCCTGTGCCTCAGCCTCCCAGAATGCTGGAAATACAGGCATGGACCTCCCTGCCTGGCTATTTGATGTTTTCCAACACTTATTCACAATTTTTGGAGATTCCTCAAATCAGTATGCCCCAAACACCCCTATGTATTATGAAGTGTTCCACACTCAAAGACTTCTAGGAGACACTGAGATAAAGACAATTTCTTTACTGCATAAAACCAGAATCCTTAATATGCTAATGTATACTGTAAGTCTCTCAGGAATGGGTATAGTAAACTCATTTGATAATAGTTTTTTGTGCCACTCTACTTAGTATCTCAGAATAATATATTTAATGAGACATAGTTTGAGAAAACCCTGAGCAGCAATATGTTATCACAGTTAGGAATGTGCTCATTAGGAATACATGTCAGTTTTTAAAACATATATGTTAAGAATAACACAGATGTGGATGCAAACACACATATAAACATGAAAAACATGAAGAATTACACACAAATTAATAAAGCAGAGTTATATAACACTAATATTTTTGGAGAAAACACCCTAAACTTCTTTTTGAAGTCTAGGTGTAATAAATTTGGCAAACTTGTTTTTGATACAAAGACCATTTTAAAGCCTCGAGCCCAGTTTATAAGATACTCAAATACTGATCAAATAAATGTAGAAGAGTTAATATGAGAAGTTTTATCCTTAAAAAGTAAAATGACACATCCGTGAAGTCCAACATGACACTTAGGAGTCATACCCAATAAAGCTGTATATCAGCAAAAACAATATCACCCACAGTGGATTTTTCAGGACAGAAAGAAAAAATAGGAAGATTTTTATATTTTAAATACAAGAAAAAGGCCATTGTTTTAAAAAAGGAAATCATACTGAATTAATTTAATGTAAATTATGCTTTTCCAGAGTTGGAGGAAGAGGAGAATACATGTTAAACTACTTATCTTTAATGTCTCAGAATGTAAGCAAATGGGATACTGGGATATTACCTTAATTCAAAAATTACACTGATTAACCATGAGTTTAAAAAGTGCTATAGTAAAAGAAATGTTATTTGCTAATACTTTTATGATGCTACCATTCAAGCATCTATAAATGTCACCTATGACAGCTAAAGTGGAAGGGGGAGAGAGAGGAGAAAAGAAAGAAGGGAAAGGAATAAATATGAGAAAAAGAAAAAACAGAACAAAAGTCTTTGTAAATAGGGAGGGGTGGAGTTGAAGGGAGGGAAGGGGAATGGGGAAAAAAATAAGAACCAAGACATATCATGTGTATGTACAAATCCCCAATGATGAATGTCATCATATTGTATACCTAAAATGTACCAATAAACCCAATGAATAAAAAAGAAAGAAAGAAAATTAACTCCCACTATTAATTGTAATTAACTGAATGTAACTGTTTGAAAAGAGATATTTCCATTGTGGCATGACACGTGTACATTCCACAGTTGGCAGGCATTGCAACAAGTACTAGGGACTGTCTGCCCTCTGTCAAGCTATGAAGGTAGCCTCGAGTACCTTTAGGCCAGATGGATGAGCTGCTGGAGAGGGTCTGCATGAATCAGAAATGTGAACTACAGGACTCTGGGGATGCAAACTATGGTAACCTTCTGCCTGAGACTTTGAAAAGGAGTCAAACATCATCTTTGAGAAACAGGACACTGCAACAGAATTGTAAACACATCTAGCTTGCCTTCCAGCAATTATATACCCAATATTTCTTATTACTTCGTCACAACTATGTTCATGATCCAACACCACAAGGATCATAAAACAAAACCTTCCCACTCAAATAAATTTTGAGATTACTAACTTATATAAAACAATGGAAAAAATTCAGCAGAAAATGTTGTAAGACTAAAATGACCCTGATTTAAGATATTAAAAAGAGACAGCAAGATATATCCAACCAACAGCATGTACCAAAATGTACATAGCAATCTTCTCATAATAACCAGAAGCTGGAAACCATCCATTCTACAGAAGAATAGATAAAGAAATTGTGGTTTACTCATATGGCAGTATACTACATAGCAATAAAAAGGAGTAAACTATTGTTATACAAGACAACATGAACAGTGTGTTGGGCAAAAAAATAAATAAGACCTAAAGTGCACATAACATACATTCAGCAGAACTGCATTCAAAACAATAACATTAACAGCTTATCTATTACTCCTATTTATTTAATCAAAAAAGGAAAATCCCTTGGAGAATCTTGGGCTGAAAATTCTAACAGTACTAGTGAACAAGTTTTTTCAAACCAAAAGAAATGTCTGTGATTTTGAATGACTCATTAAATTGAGAAAAATTGCTTAATTGATATGCTTAACATCATCAGCCACAGCATAATTCAGACCCAAATGACAATTTACCACCACAGAAAAATCTTGTGAGGAAAACATAAATTCACTTGACTAGAATGAAGTATTATAAAATCTGATACCAAGTGTACTATAGATAGCAATTATCCAAAAGTCACCCCAATGTTGGGTTACTGATAAGAATAAATACCTCCCTTATATTTTGGATAAGTGTATGTAAAAATTATATCTGAGACCTTGAAGGTAACACCAGAGTTGAATGCTGACATTTGATGATTCAAAATATCCTTGTTGGGGCTCTGTCTCACAGGAGCAAAGGTCCTGCCTATATAGACAACACTGAGGGTATTTCAGAGTGACAAGTAATCTCGTAGAAGACATTAATCACCACCTATCAAAATATAAAATGTACACACCCTTTGGCCTACTAGTTCTCTTTCAGCCACTCTACTGGCATACGTTCAACTGACAAATATGCATATATAAAGTTATTCACAGAAGTACTATTTGTAAAAGAAAAAGACTGAAGACAACCTAAATGTTCATCAGGAGGGGGTTGGTTTAAAAAAAAAGTTTATGGTACATTCATATAATAAAATACAATCCAGTAACTTAAAAGATTACTTGTGCAATTTATATACTAATATAAAATGATCTAGGAAACCAACTGTTAACTTTAAAAGGAAGGTATAGCTTCCACTTTTAGGAAAATGGAGTAGATAGAATTTTCCCTATTTCTCCTGCTAAGTACAACTAAAAACTTTGGACATAATTTACAAACAAATATTAAAAAGTTCAAAAGCTGAGGAAGAGTACAGACTAGCTATGGACTTCAGCTTCAAGCAACCACATGACAGAGATTTCCCTTCTTGCCTCATATATATCCTAGTCTCAGAGCTGCAGAAATCAACCTAGAAACATCCATGGGCAGAGACAAAAGGAAGCCTCAACTAAGTCGTTCCCTCTAGCCATAGGGAAGGACATCAATTCTCCTCAAAATTAGACTCAATGCAATTTCCACCAAATGGCAAGATTTTGTACCGATGTACACAATTCAATTCTAAAATGTATATGGAGAAGCAAAAGATCTAGAAGACCTAAAATACTTTTGTTTAGAAGACTTGCTATTTAGCTACAGTAATTGAAACTGTATGGTACTGACAGTAGGAACAGAACATACAGATCAATGGAACAGAATCAAGAACCAAGAAATAGGCCCTCACAAATACACCCAAATGATTTTGGATAAAGGTACAAAAGCAATCCAATGGAAGACAGATTTTTCAACAAATGGTGCTGGAACAACTACATATCCCTAAGTTTAAAATAAAAAAACTTCTAAGGCTTATATCTTATAAAAATCAATTAAAAATGGATCATGGAGGTCCGGGGATTTAGATCAGCGGTTCCGCCACCTGCCTACAAGCGCAAGGACCCAAATTCAATCCCCGGTGCCAAAAAACAAAAAAGCAAAAAAACAAAAATGGATCATGGACTTAAAACACAAAATGTAAACTGATTAAACTGAAAAAAAATGAGGATGCAAAAAAATTCCATAGATTGCTGATGGGAGATAAAATGGTGTGGTCACTTTGAAAAAACACTCTGGCAGTCACAAATGACTAAACATAGACTTACCATAAGACTGAGCAATTCCACTCCTAGGGATATACCCAAGAGAACTGAAAACATGTGCTATAGAAAAACCTTTACATGAATGTTCATAGCAGCATTTTTTATTAACCATCAAGAACTAGAAACAATCTAAATGTCCACTGACTGAGAATGGATAAATAAAATGCACTGGAATGTTATTCAGCTATAAAAAGGACTTGAGTACTGACCCATGATACAACAGGAATAAGCCCTGAAAAAGATATGCTTAAGTAAAACAAGCCAGTCACAAAAGTCATTTATATGAAATGTCCAGAATAAGTAAATCCATAGAGATAGCAGATTAGTAGTCGCCAGGGGTGGCTGCAAAGAGGAAGCAGGGAAAAGTGGGTACAGAGTTTCTACTCAGGATGACAAAAAAATCCTGAGTGGAAATCCTGGAAATAGATAGCAATGACAGATGCAAAACATTTAAATATACTTAACATTATTGACGTGTGTTTTAATAGGGTGAGTATAAAGTTCTAGTTTTTTACTATTAATGGTACACGAAATATACTTAGAATTTTTAAAACTGAGAAGAAAATCTTCCAAATCTAGAGCTAGGCAGAAGCTGTTGGATTTGACACTAAAAA